TTGTTGGCTGATTTGATTATGATATTTTGCTTAATCTAACCGCCCCTCATTTCATGCTAAATTTTGTGCTGGTAGTAAAAGTCTTTTAATTGTCACCATGTTGAATCGTCATGTAATTTTTGAAATTTTCCAAAATATTAAGCAGAATACAATTTTACTAAATTGTCCATGATATATTTGAGGACAAATTTCATTCACACCTCCTCTAAATAAACATATCTTTAATTAGACCCCTTCTAGATAAGTATATTTTCAATTATACCCTCTGTGTTTTCTAATTTTTTTTTACGTAATTAAATTCAAATCGATTAAAATTTGATTCAAGCTAATTAAAATTTATTTTTTTACATATTAATATTTGTGCCAATTAAAAATTATATTTTTTTTATATATTAGAATTTGGGCTGATCAAAATTTTATTTGAGCCAATTAAAAATTATATTTAATCGACTTAAATCAAATTTTAATTAATTCGCATTGAATTTTAATCAGTCTAAATTTTAATATATAATAATATATGAATTTTAATTGACTTAAATTTTAATAAATCTAATTTTAATTGACACAAATTTTAATAAGAAAAAAATATAAATTATAATCGACTCGAAAGAAAATTTGAATCGGCCCCAACAACTCGGATAGAATTCAAATCGGCTCAAATTTTAATATGTAAAAAAAAAAGTTTTAATAGGCTCGATTTTTTTAAAATTTACTAATTAGTAAATAAAAAATTAGTATTTACTAACAAATTATTTACTAAAATTGTTATTTATGATTTTTTTTAAAATTTTAACTGCTTGAATTTTAATAAAATTTTATGTAAAAAAATTACTTGAGGTTATGTAGGGGCATTTTTGGTATTTTAGATAAATTTATTTTGTTAGAAATAATAGTTTAATGGTATGGAGTGTTAGTGATGTTTAAATTAAACTAGAAGGGGTGTCATTGAAGATTCAGAAACTAGAGGGGGTGTCCTTGAAGATATGGTAAACTAGAGAGGGTGTCATTGGAATTTTCCCTTTTAGTATTTATTTTTGGGTTAATTATTTTTTATCTATGTAGTTTCGACCAGAAGTATTTTACTTAACACTTAAAATTATGCAGATTATCTCTTTATAGTTATAGTTATGTATCAATGGAAAGTAATTGACATAATTAATGGAATTAAAAAATTACCACAATACTCACATTTTAAAATCAGACTTTTTGTCTGATTTACTCTTAATCATAAGGCTAATGGAACACGACAACAAATCAACACAATCAAACATATTGAGTCTCTCTTTTCCTCAACTGTGGTTTTGATTCTAGGTTAAAAATCATTTTTGTTTTTCTTATATGTTTTTTGGTTTTAGACTGATGTCTTACCTATTTGGGTATTATACCATATATTATAAAGAGTATTTTAGGCATTTAGATAATGTTCTTTTGGAGGGAAACAAAGGAAGCAAAATCCACAACATGTTTTGGGCGTATACAACACACTCTCGGTTAACTTGGATGATTAAAGTAACACTTTGACACATAACTACAAGAGCGTAATATACATAATTTTTAATGTCAAGTAGGTAAAAGTAATTCTAGCCGAAACCACAACATTTAATAGTTCTATCAATACCCGTGTTATTTTACGAGATTAGAACATTCCCACTTCTTGATATCGTTTCATGTCCCCAAGTTCAGATAAATTTTAGAATTATGGATGCTTTAATTTTTAATTCTTTTGACAATTGAGAAAAATACAGATACACCATGATGGTCCATAAAAGCCCAACCCAGACAATGGGCACCTTATGAATAAATGGTTGGATTGAGTACATCGAGTTGAAAGAAAAAGGTACCTGAAAGGATATGATTCTCTGAATACTTGTTTATCATGACATAATCAAGTTATTAATATTTGATACTATTTCGACCTTTTATCATTAGTACCACCTGCTCATGTACATATTAAAATTCTTATTAAGAACTAGTCAGTCCTAAGTTGATAACCTCGCGTCGTGTTAAAATTGTCTAAGGACAACAACTCTTAGATAATACTAAGGCCTGAACAGTGAACACTTATTGTTAATGCAGGGACAGTAATTTTATTTTCCTTAAGTGCAATTCTACTTTACCAAATCTATTGTTGTTGACTTGTTGTTTTACTAAACAAACAGTAAAGTTCTTGTTAGCAAATTTTTAATTCCGTTTCACACATTCTTTTATCTAGTTGTCTTTGTTTCTGTTGATATGCACCACAGGTGATCTGAAGAGGACTGCACATCTGCTTGCACTTGATGGAGCTAAGGAAAGACTACATTTTTTTGAAGCAAACTTACTTGAAGAGGGACCTTTTGATGCTGTGGTTGATGGTTGTGAAGGTGTCTTCCACACAGCCTCTCCCGTTATCCTTTCAGCCACTGACCCTCAGGTCCCTGATCAAACTTTTACATTCCTATTGTGATTTTTTGTATAGTAGCCGCCATCTGTATAAACACTTAAGGCGAATAAATTCCTTTGCTGACTTTCAAACTTCTTTATTCAAACACTGTGATTTCCAACTTTTTTCTCAGAATCTCAACCTGTCATAGTTTATATGAAAGCATAATTTCTTTATCTTTTGTAAGTAATATGAAAGTGAGGTTTTAATTCATATCATTGTTAAATTTGTATGACAAGGCACTTTTCAATTTCTCATTTGAAAGCTTATACAGCAAATATGCTTGTATGTTAGAAATCGTAAACCATGCTTTCATATTAACAATGATAGGTTAGGAAATAAGTTAGAAATCACAGCTTTACTGCACCAAAAAAAAGAAATCACCATTTTTGTTGAGCAAAAGAATTTGAACAAATGGGCATCTCGACACTACAACCATTGTGACATCATTAGTTTCACATTAATACTGTGCCTAGGTTCAGACCCATACCTGAAAACTGTATTACAGTTTATATAATGTTAGCAATTTTCTGGTCATTTCTTGCATGCTTGCTGGTCTTGTCATCACTTGAAAAATTTTTGGTCATCTCAAGTGCAACAAAAGGAGTGAAATAACAGAATGGAGAGTTGATAAGTATGTATCAAGATCAAGAAGTAAACCTTAGTCACTCTTTTGTATTTCTCTCTTTTGTTGCCATGTCCATACAAATAGCTTAGTCACATTAGAAACAATGATCAATGTTTGACTTCATCTTGCATGTTTTTTTTACGAGAATTAAGTAGAAGATCTATCATCCTGTGCTCCATGGTTTTGGTTATGCATGGGTTTTTGTTGTTTTTATTTGCTTGCAAATCAAAAGGTATACTCACTATACATGTAATCTCTGTCGGTTATCATTGGTTATCAGAAAATAAAAAAACATTTGACTGCATCTTCTAATATTGTATGAAGTCATTGAGATCTTTCTTTTTAGTTTAAGACCAAAGGTAGACCTTTAAGTTTTAGTTATTTTAGCATATAGATGGGAAAAAGGTAAAGGGTGTTTTCTTTCTGAAAAAATTGAGAATCTGGACATTCAAGGACTGTGAAGTTTATGTCGTAGCTTCTTGTGTTTTTGTTCAATGACATAGTTGGAGATGAGTTAACTTTCTTTAGCACCCTTCCTTATGTGGTAATGAAACTTTGGTGTATGTCTCAGCTGTGTTATATTCTTTCAAAAACATTGGCCGAGGAAGCTGCATGGAAATTTGCAAAACAGAGTGGGATTGACTTGGTGACGATACATCTAGATTATGTGATTGGACCTCTGTTACAGCTGATCCTCAATAGCTCTGCTGAGGGGATTCTAGACTTCATGATTGGATCTCTCTTACAGCTGATCCTCAATAGCTCTGCTGATGGGATTCTAGACCTCATAAATTATGGTATGCTTTTCTATAACGACTGAATGTTATGACTTATGAGTATGATAGTATCTTTCTACGTGAAATGTATTATATACTTCATCTAATTGTTGTAAAATATTGAGTGTTGTTGTGAGCTGGGTATGGTGAGTATTTTCTACATTATCTGGAAAGATTGGACACATTGTATGGACCCATATCTAGTTACGGTTGGGGAATGAATGATCATACCTTTAAAAATTAAGTCTCTAATTGCTACGTGGTTATGGGGGTTTTGTTACAAATATGCCAAATGTTAAGTCTACATTTAATCCACCCTTTCAAGTGTTATTTTTAGTTAGGAATGATAATCGAGTCAAGCTACTCTGGCACAACTCGGATTCGACTTGTATAGGCCTTGACTCAATCATGGCTCGGATTCTAAAATGCTCAGCTCAAGCTCGCAACGTTCGGCTCGTTTTTATGTAGAGTAGTCGAGCTACTCTGGCTTGATTCGTTTATAAAACGAGCCGAGTTTGATCAATTCTACGATCTTGAACTATTATTATTTTGGCTGCATTTGAATTGATTTTGGCTGATCTCCCTAATAGACTACAACACCTGCGGGTCTACACAATATCTGGAACTTAGAATCTTTTACACTATGCACAAACAGTAAAAGCACAGACACCCTTTTACTAGGAATTAATTATCCAAACATCATTATTTTGAAACTTATTTACTGAAATACCATAATTTTAAACTTATTTACTAAACTACTTTTATTAAAAAAAAAACGTTTTTTTATGTCTTTTTGAAACACGCTTTTAAAGATTTTTTGTTGGAATTGTGCGTTTAAAAAACATTTTTTTTTTTTGCATTCGGTAATTAGGTAAATAAGTTTAAAACTATGGCACTTGGGTAAGCAAGTTTCCAAACAACATGACTGGATAATTAACTTCTCTTAGACAGCATAAATAGTGATTCACAGAATTTAGAAAGGGGTAACACTGTTGAAGCAATACATCACTTTAGTACATATAATCTCCCCAAACTACTGCCATTTTTGTCTAATCAATTTTCTTTCATTCAAAAGGAGTCCAGTTTCCTTCATAACAAAATTCACTTCAACATTACAATGAAATTCACTTCCAAAGCTTCTAACTGGAACACAAGTTCAACAACTACATGAAATCTAACCTTGGGGATGGAGGTTCCTGTTGCGTGCTGTTCTCCTACTGCTCACCCTGGATAATCTATAAACAATTTTGTCCACAAAATCGAAGTATACACCACGCCAAGGTTTTCTAATCACGAAAATTAGGTAAGGGACAAGAATACCTGCAGCAAATCCCAGTCCAAGACTCAAATAAAACCACTTGTCAGTGAATGTATTGTCCCTGTCATCCTCAGCAGTCTCTCCTTTGTTTGAATCTTCACCAGGGCACTTCACAAGAAGCGGAGCTCCACAAAGACCAGGGTTTCCCCCAAAAGCAGACTCAGTAAATGTTGTCATCTGTCCCATATAAGGAATCAGACCTGATAACTGATTGTTCGATAAATTCAGATAACTCAAGAATGTTAATTTAGACATGCTTGGAGGAATGGCACCCGAAAGCTTATTACTTGAGAGATCAAGAGATGCCAATTGACGCAAATTTGATATGCTTTCTGGGATTTGACCACTGATTTGGTTTCCTGATATGTTCAAAACCACCAGGCCAAACAGCTTCGTTAATTCCACTGGAAACTCTCCAGTTAGATGATTTCCAGACAGGTCTATGGAGGTCACAAGGGATAGAGTCTTGGTGTATCTTTGAAATTGTCCTTTTATATTTACAACCAAGCTTTCTCCATAATAGCGGCCCCTGTAAAAGCCATATAACAGATATTTGTTTATTGCCTGCTCTTGTGACATGGCTTTCAGGTTACCAAAGCTAGTTGGGACTTTGGCAGTCAAATTGTTTTCTGCAAGATCAAGGACTTGTAGTGATCTTAAATTTGAAAGCTCCCTGGGAATTTCTGCCAGAAATGCATTTGACCTCAACCTGAGGATTCTGAGATTGGTAAAACCATCTCCGAACCATGATGGAATAGTACCTGACATTCTGTTGTTTCCAAGATCCAGGGTCTCTAAACTTGATAAATTTTTGAAAGAAGAAGGAATCTCTCCTGAAAACATGTTGTCGTTCAGGTGCAGTGATTGAAGCAGGTTCAACTGGCCCAAAGAACTTGGAATAACCCCAGACAAGTTGTTGAATCCAAGATCTAAAGCCTTTATGTAAGAGAAATTTCCTATGCTTGGAGGAATGCTTCCTATCAATCTATTGTTCGATAGATCAACGACTTCAAGCAACTGCATTTGTCCTATGGAGGTTGGTATTTCTCCAGTTAGTTGGTTACTGGAAAGAGAGAGAAAGATCAAGTATGGCATGGATTCACCAATATTTTGAGGGATTGGGCCAGAAAATCTATTGTTGGACAGATCTAGTAATTCAATAACATGACTAGGAAGAGGAATGACTCCTTCAAAGAGGTTGGAGCTGAAGTCAATATCTGCATAGGGGACTACATTTAATGGATTTGGTAATTGACCCTCTAACTGATTCAGAGAAACATTTACCAGCGAAAGATTAGAAGCGATATCCCAAAACCAACGTGGTATGGAATCTGAAATGCTAGCATTTGAAATGTCAAGGAAGTTAAGCTCCTTCTGAGATTGAAGCCAGGCAGGAAATGAAGGACCCAATTTGCAAGAACCGATGTCAAGATTACGGACTCGGAATGGAGGGACCCAACTTGAACTGACATTAAAAATAAAGGAATTGGAAGACAAGAACAAGAACTTCAGATTAGTCAGATTTGAAAAATGGGCCTCGGAGATAATACCTGACAATTGATTGAAAGAAAGATCAAGATATGACAACTTTGAAAGCTGCCCAAAGCTCTCTGGCAGTGTCCCATTGAGTTTGTTTCCTGCTAGTCCCACATCAGTTAGATTTTGTAGTGTCCCAATAGAAGCAGGGATATGACCTTCCAGTAAGTTGGAATCCAGTCCAAGTTCCTCAAGATTTTCAAACTGACCCAACCATTCTGGTAATCTACCCACCAGCTGATTGCCGCTCAATTCTAAACGCACCAACCAAGGCAAAGGACTTGTAGAAACACAGTTATTAGTCCCTTTAAGTAATTCAGGCAAACTTCCTGTCAAGTTATTACCTGATAAGTCAAAATTAATTAAATTACAGAGCCTACCAATGGAGGCAGGTATTCCACCCTCTACGCTGTTTGCAGAAAGATCAAAATTGGTGAGGAATTGCATATTTCCGATGGAAGCAGGGAGTTTGCCGTGTATTGAGTTAGAAGCCAAATCAATGACCTTTATTTTCCTCCAGCTTCCCCTGAACAATTGAAGGCAACTGGCGCTGAGATTACCATTCAGCGCAAGGTTCAAATATTGCAGGCTTGGAAGCTCACTAAGACCAAGTGGAATCCTTCCTCTTAGGACACTGCTGCTTAAATCAATGTACACAAGGCTGCTGATAATCACAAGCCAATCAGGGAACTCCGAGTTAAAGCTGTTAAACTGAAGGTCCAGCACAGAAAGTGAAGTGAAATTAACAGAGCCAAGAGACGAAATGGAACCAGTTAAGCCACAGCCTGGAAGACGCAGCTCAGTTAAATAAGGAAGCGTGTTCAGTACCTCTAGCCAGCTTGATCCCACTAATGAAAGGTCCACCTGGTCCATCGCAAGATTTTTCAGAGAGACAAGGCCAGTCATCCATTGAATGTTATCAACCATCAAAGGAGGGAATTCGGAAGAAAGATCAAGATATTGCAAACTAGATAGGTTTCCCAAACTTGGAGGAATTTTGCCACTAAACCCCGCTTTTGACAGGTTTAAATACTGTAAATTCTTCAAAGAACCAAAGAATTCAGGAACTAGGATGTCTTGAAATGTGTTGTAACTCAAGTCTAAATATTTTAATGACCTCAGTTTTAGCAATGAAGGTCTAATGTCTCCACTCAAGTTCCAGAATCCATACCTGGTATTAGAATAAGAAGCAACTGGATATGGATTGCGAAGGTCAATCATGGTAACAGCAGCTGTTTTGTTGTCACAGCCAATTCCCGGCCACTGACAACAGTTGCTGCCACTCCATGACGAGAGTCGGTTCTCAGGATCGTTAAGGCCATTTTTGAAGTCATTAAGAGCTTGAATATCTGATTCTGAACAATTAAGGAGGAGGGTATCTCCAAAACAAACAAATTCTGTTGTTATTGAGCAAAGAACAGCTACAACAAGAAGACTGACAACTGGAAATCGCCCCATATGTTCAGGTTCAATTGTTCAAAGCGTGAGAACAACAATAATGCACGAAATGCGGAGAGTGACTATATGGTATTCATTTTCTTGATCTGCAAGAAAATTCTTCCCGAAGAAGAGTTAAAAATGAGCATTCTTGGGTAAGATCAAATGGAAACTACGTGAAAATTACGCTGTTAATGTTGACTTCTGTTGGCCTGCAGCCATTATTGGCTTTGGACAAAAGACAAAAGCTGGCCTCAAATTTCAGAGGAAGGGTGGCTTAAAATCAAGAGGAGTGGGCTTTGCATGAATGGCTAATTTATGCACAGTTCGGATCAGATTTGCACAAACCTGAAGTGTTGTCCATTTCCTCACAAATCTGAATGGCTAATTCATGTGGGTGAGACTTGCTGAGTAGCAAAAACAGCTTCTGAGGACTTATAATGTTTTGTTATTGCTACTGGATTATGGTGCGATTTCCTAAATATAAGGTCCCCCTGGCCCTGTGTCCCATTCTTTCTTTGTTGCCATGTGTATACCAATATTAGTGGCACTAGAGAATTTTTCAAGTGAAGCAGCTGACAACATTTGCATTCTCTAGTCTTATACTAAGCCCATTTTAGACGTGTCGTTTTAGCTCAAGGCCAAGGAGAGATATTCAAATTTTAGCATATGGATGGGGAAAAGGGAAATGTTTTTTTCTTCTGAAAAAGTTGAGAATTTGGGCATGCAAGAACTGTGAAGATTATTTTTGTTGTTTTCGGTATATTTGTTTGGCAGTATGGTTGGGCAGAAATTATCTCACTTTAAGACTCTTCATTATGTGCTAATTGAACTTTGGTGTATGTCTCAGCTGTGGTATATGCTTTCAAAAACATTAACTGAGGAAACTGCATGGAAATTTGCAAAGGAGAATGGGATTGCCTTGGTGATGATACATCCAGGTTATGTGATTGGTCCTCTATTACAGCCAGTGTATGTCTCAGCTGTGGTATATGCTTTCAAAAACATTAGCTGAGGAAGCTGCATGGAAATTTGCAAAGGAGAATAGGATGGACTAGGTGACAATACATCTAGGTTATGTGATTGGTCCTCTATTACAGCCAGTGTATGTTTCTACTGTGGTATATGCTTTCAAAAACATTAGCTGAGGAAGCTGCATGGAAATTTGCAAAGGAGAATGAATTGACTTGGTGACGATACATCCGGGTCATGTGATTGGTCCTCTATTACAGCCAAAACTCAATAACACTTTGGAGGCGATGCTGAACTTCATGAATTATGGTATGCTTGTCTGTGACAAATGAGGATGATCCATATGATAGTATCTTTCTTCGTGAATGTATTAGATACTTCATCTCAATTGTTACTAGCAATCCTCTAGGTACAATCTTGAGTGTGTTATTGTGATCTGGATATGGTGAGTCTTTTCTAGTTTATCTGGCATTGGAAACTTTTTATGGATCTATATCTAGTTATGGTTGGGGAACGAATGATCTGACCTTTAGGAATCTAGCCCTCATGGCTATATGGTTGCAGAGGTTTCTTAGAGAGAAATTCACATTGGCTAAAAAGTAATGGTAAGAGGTTCCTTATTTTCCAATCTTTTAGTGGTCATTCTTCATGATTGATCTGGGAATTTTTTTTCCTAACAATTGGTTATTGATCTAGGACTTGATTCAGAAAGAGTTGTAGTGGGTGGCACTCCTGAAAATGCTTTATATCATTCGTTCTGTCATTTGAAATTTAAAAGAGCAGCCATCTGCTCGATTGCTGCAATTAAAAAATGTTCTCGTCTTAAGGAAGTTTATCTTCATTACAAGTTTGAACTATTTTGTGAGGCATAGGAGCTGTTATCTTCTCTGGAGCTACTCAATGATTCCCCTTGTCTATATATTTTTTTCTGATGAAGTGCCTATGTCTTTAGGACAATGACTCTTGATGCTAATTTCTTTGTTAGTTTGCTAAGTGAGGTTATAAATGTCATTCCATTGCGTCCTGCAAAATTGACTTGAAAAGCCAAGTTTTTGTTTTCTTTTCTTTGTTTTCTTTTTTGTAAAATTGACTTGTAGCCCGTAGGGCCATTGATTTATTAGGGAAGTGTCTTAAATTGCACATTATGGCTTGGGTAGGACAATTGGGAACCACTAACCATAAATATATTCAAGATGATTATACGGAATAAGACATGAAAGAATATGAAACAAGAAACGTAGAAGAATAACGCAAAAGAAGAACTGAATTTCTTCCGAAAACATTTATTTTCTTACTACTTTTCTATCATTTGATATACTGGTGAGTGCACACATGTGTTGTGGAATACTTTAAAAAACAAACTAATCAACTCTGTATTCCATGTCAGTAGGAAACACATGTATTTCAACTATTTCATTATCTTTTCCGCATATTTGGAATAAGAGTGGCCATGAGCCTTTTTTGGTAAACAAATATTATTTTAGTACAAAGGAATTAATAGAGGCACTCTACCTAAAACTTGTAATCTTAACAGATGTTTGAACTCATAATTACTTTTAATTAATTGAAGCATTAGTTAATTCCCACTTTTCAAACACTATAAGAAACATAATCTTTTTGTTAATTTGTATTAGCAGTGCGTGCGCGCGCGCACACACACACACTATATATATATATATATATTGTTTAGCTAAGAAACTAATGAAATTTTAGTTTAAAATAATGATTATAGAGATTGTTGCTCGTAGGTTTTTGATGTAGAAACTCATAAGAAGTTAAAAAACTTGTCTATAAATATTGTAACGATAGTACAATTTTAGCTTCAAAATCCAAAATCCTGTGCAACCATTTTGTTTGGTAAGAAATTCCAAGCAATGTAAAAGCCAAAAACTTAAGAAATTGAACAAGTTCGAAACAAATTATATTCTCAAATATGTAAAATAAATTATGCAATTAAAAGCCGAGAATGACTTTTTAGAAAATTTTCTGATCTAAGGATTTTTTTATATGAAGCCGTCCAGAGAGGAACATTGAAACCAGTACACAAGAAGCATGATCACCATTTGTTACCTTTGGCATATTCACCATCACTGCTAAATACCTAATTGTATATGCCAAACTCAGAAAAAGACAAAAACATCAATATAACACACTAAATCCAATTTTTAAGCTTAAAAACAAAATAGGCCTAGATTATAAAAATTCTTAATAGACCAAACCAAAATCATAAAAATATCAATATAAAGCAAACCTAGAGAGTAAAAATGCTAAAAATATTAAACACAACATTTTTACAGGGAAAATGATTTTTTAGAAACTTAATATCAATCTTAATTTGATGCTTCTACGATCCTTGCAGCCCATGAAATGAATATGACGAGAGAACCAATAGTTAGAGAAAGAGTTGAGGTTAATCATGGAATATGAAAAATATATTCTAACCTTTTTGTTGTGTATAGATTGAAGATCACATCAACTCCCCACAATGTTGCAAAGTACATACCAATCTTGACTTTCTTTGTTGCTTTCTTTTGAAGATCTCGAAAACTATCTTGCATAGGAATGGTGTTGATTAATGGGTCAAAGCATAATTATTGCAGATGATAAAAAAAAATGTCTTGTCCATTTTCGATAAAAGATTTGATAATCTGGAAAGGCAAGCGTAAAAGTCAGACAATGATAACCAAAGAAAATAATGGTAGACGAATGGCTTAGGATGGGAGAGAAAACGGTATGTCTTGGCATTAGTGTTAATTATCTATTCATTCACATAATTAAGTTTAGGGCAATAGTTTTATCACAAAAGAAGATTAAAAGACATAAATGATATGATTAACATTACAGGAATAATTAAGAGCCGGTGGAAAAAAGGAGAATATGGAAGAGGTGTCAATTTATTGCCAAAATTGAGAGTTTTTTTTTTCATGTTTTGTAACCGAGGGAAGACATAAGGACTATGATATTCAATGAATATAAAATATGGATAAAAATGACCTAATTATATTATTTAAGGATAAAAAAGAAAATCAAAATTTTGAAGGAAAATTGACATTTAAAATTCCATATATATATATATATATATATATATTTATATATATATATATTTATTCATTTATTTCTACAATAGGAATAGTCTAAGAGTTACATTAGGAAATATAATATAATTGTTTGATGATAGAAGGGAAAGATAAAATTAGTGTGACATTAACTTTGACGGATAAGGATGACATAGTTATAGTTTTATAAGACAAAAGTGAAAAAAAAATAATTTTCATGTATGTTGGTATTTTAAAGTAGTATAAATATAAATTATATTTAATAGCTTTGAAGTGATATGAATATGTATACAGATGTATGAATAATTTTGATTTGGGTATACAGTGACTGTAAGAATTTCCTTTAGTTGCTACTTTTAGGGCTGGA